AGTAAAACAAATGATAACGAACGTCTTCAAATTAATGCGTATGCAAACTGAATTGAACAGTATTAGTAAAAAGCAGCTTCTAATTAGGTAGAGATGTCTGAGGTATCGCATGGAAACCACCGTATTATCATTCACATTCTGGCGAAGTTTAGAATGAATATTTTCTTGATTCAAGGCTGTTCGAAGGAAAAAATTTTAAAGTGTGTCGTATCCTGATACAAAGTTTGTCTTTGGTAACTAAGCACGCGCTCTTCCTTCATTTTATTATTCACGGGAACTTTGCCAATAACTCAATAGCTTTCTTTTTGAAGATGTAAAATCCATTTGATTTCTCTTCCCCCCCCCCCAGTCTATTTATTTTAGATAAAATTTGAAATCACTCAAAATAAGGATAGTAAGAAAGCTACTAAGGATACTTTTCATTTAGAAGTATATAATGCTAAAAAAATTTTATTACTTAAATGTGAGTAGGAAATCGAAAACACAGAGCTTTAACTGTATTTGGCTGCGCAGCGCTCGTTGAGAGGTTTTAGGGAAAGCTTTAAATTTCGTGAGAGAGTTTCGCTGTTAGTGATCAGATTCGTTAGAAATACATTGGCACTAAAAAAATTCCACAATTAACAACTATTTTCAGATTTGCTTTAGAATATTCGCAGCTAGTACTTTTGCTGTTTTCTTGATGCCTTGATAAGTACATTTATACTTTTTTTTGGGGGGGGGAATTCAGAGTTCAAGGTTTAAAGTTCTTCCTTGCAAATAATCTCGATGTCATGTATGCCCAGTATTTCCCAGTATTTATAATATCTCATGTATACCCAGTATTTCAAAAATTGTCAAAAAGTTAATTCAACGTATATTTCTTTTTATACTGTTTGTTAATGATGTGTCTGTAAATGAGCAATCTGACTTCTCTTGCAGATTAGGCGTGAAATGCAGTTTTCTTATAAAGTACAACTCCACGAATTTCGAGACGTAATTCGAATATCAACATTACTTGTAATTTGTAAGAAGTGATTAGTTATTTTCAAGCAAAAAGTATCTTTGGGTGTTAGAATAAATACAGGCTGCGAATGAATCAAACCACAATAAATGAATGCAGCAAGTTGCAGCTGTTTCGGACCATACATAGTAGCGTTTTCGTCAGCAGTTCATAGGTTGAATCAAAATACCTTACAGGCGTTGGAAACGTTTTACGCTGCCGTCAGAATCACAAGGCACCTAGTACAGGCAAACTTTTATTAAATTATTAGGCAAACTTTTTAGGTTTCGGTCTAAATCAATCAAAATTTGCTTATTAAGAAAATGTTTCGAGTCAGTGGTAGTTTTATTTTAAAATAACCCTTTTTGGGGAATAATAAGATAAACCTAATTGAGAAAATAATTGCAAATAATACTTTAAACTTATACATACTTTGAACATAAAAATTAAAATTAAATCTACAATTATTATAAAAACAGGCATAACTGAATGAACTATATTTTTCTCTTTAATATCAATGACTCCCCTGATCCTGAACATAGGACGTCAGTTTTATCAAGTACAAGTCTGTTTATAACATCACCTCGAAATAACCATCGCATATTCGAATGTAACAGCAAATTTCTGTATTGCGATTCAATTTACTCTAGAGAAGCTTTGGAACGCCTGTGATCGTGCTACTAACTGTGCTTACGATCTTAACAACCTTTCCAATTACATCTTTTAAGTTGTTGCATAGATGCGATTATAAAAAATTTCTTTCATGTATGATGCAATGAAACAATAAAAGTTAATGGCCAAATTTCTAAATAACTAATAAGTTTCACAAATTGAACAGTTTATTCTCTCATAGCTAGATCACTAAGAGTTGTTAGGGAAACAATTTACTTTTTAAATCTAATAATTACCCATTTTTACATCCTTGTACGAAGTAAAAAGGAACTATTGTAATCGCAAAAAATTTCGGGTATCATATTTCAACGAAAATATTCATTTAAAAATGTTTTTGCGTGACATCTGTACTTAGGGACAGAATAAAGGACACTTTTTCCCCCTCAAAAAAATTTTAACAATGATTTAAAATAAATTCTGAAGAGAATTTTTCTTGGCTTCTGTGCGTACGTACGTATCTCGCATAACTCAAAAACGAGCCGACTCAGAAAGTTGAAATTTTTTATATAGAACTGCTATAACACGTAGATGTGCATTTCGTATTTTGTTTGCAATCGGCCGCACCAAAAGTATATAAATATATGTATATACATACATATATATCCACTCTGCTACTCGGCTCAGTGATCTCAGTTTCTTTATACTTATATGTTTGAAAATTGTGCATTTTTTGCTTTAAAAATGACTGAATTATGTTGTTCTTATCTTTCGGTTTAAGGTTTTTATGCCTTTAGTAAATCTGCATGCAATATTTAGTACAATAGTGGATTTGTTGACAATCTAGAGAAACTAAGCTTCGCAGCAACAAAGACAACGCCTTTTTTTTATTATTGCGAATTGAATCATGCTTAATCCATTCTGGAATTTATTCGAGAAAATAAGTGTTTAAGAAATACTTCGTAACTTTTAATATAGATATTTTGAGGTTTTTATGTTTTTTTGCCTTGTCGCGAAGTGAGAACTGAATTAATTGAATAAGAAATACTGAATCGTCTGTGAAAAACTGTTACTTATTTTTTGTTTTTGTTTGTTTAATTTCTTTTATACATCGCTTTAGATTTATTATAGTATTTGAATAGAACATGTGACAACGATTAGATAATTCTTCAGATGATATAAATTTTATGCATTCGGAGTTATAAAATGAAATAGATGTAACGCTGTTAAGTTAGCCTAGCGCCAGAAGTGTCACTATGGTAAACAAATATAGTGAATTTTAAAGAGTGCATTTATTCTATTGTGGTTTATGCGCTATCGACGAAGGAGATTTAATTCAATCCAAGAAGTTTAAATGAAATGCAAGAAAAAATGCGTATAATTTAATATTCCGTACAAGGAAGTCATGTGGTGTACATATCGGATTTTGGAAATTTGTAAACTTTTGACGAAAACGCTTTTGGTTGCGTCAATTCAAGAAGCAAGGCAAAGTTCTTAACTGACTTTTGAAATATTGCATTGGCACTTTTATCAAGGGTAATGACAATTGCATCACTGGGTAACATATCATAGTCGATCTGTTTATCAGTTTTCGGTCCTATCTTTAAATGCGTCCCTGAACTGTTCTAGCTTCTTATTTCACTGTGTCACTATAATTGCGTCACTATTCTTGCACTGCTTACAAAGCGCTATTCGAGTGCTACAACTGAGGGTGAACTAAAACCAACGACACTAATGTTGGCAGCCGTCTATCAAGGTACTATGAAACGGTTTTGCCAAAGTTATCGATTTCTCCTTGAAATTATTTTACAGTTTTTACTTTTTAAAAGTAAAAATGCGTGTTCGTTAGAGCAAATTATTAAAACAAACTAAAATGTTATTGTTGTTCATTTTCAGTTAATTTTTTATGTATTCTTCAAGTGTTCGTTTCCTCGTATTTATATTTTATAATTTATTTTTGCATACTATACTTGATTGTCGAAACTCTTGTGGCCCACTTGAAATCATGAAATGTGTCACCTGGTGACTCCCAAGGTCATATATTCACCTGATGTATCTGCCAAGGCCTCACCTGATGTATCTTCAACAATTACCAGAAATTCTACTCACGATTCTGAAAATGTGCTCATTCTAAGAGATATCAAAGATGACTTTGCTTTAAGATTACTTGGCTGTATTAGAAGTTTCTATAATTTTTACTAATACTTATTTTAATTTGTTTGACTTTTCCATTTTTTTTCTTATTCCCTTCGCGTTTCCTCGCAAAAATATAAATCAGTTAGGGTTGACGAGAGTGTATTTAAACTGAAGAAGCGAAAAGTTTTCTTAGAGCGTGGTTTCGTTATTGTGAGCGAATACTGTTAATTCTACCAGATGTCAATTTTGAATATCTGCTTCACATTTTTGCTGCCGAAATTATTAGTCTGCCGGTGTAGGTTTCTGAGTGAACCTGCAAGGTTAAATTGAGTCGTGTAGTCTTGAACTATTAATTACCTTTGAATTTAGTTGTAACATGACCTGTTTAGTTACCCGCCGCAAGTCGGTGACTCTGTAAGCACCGTATGTATGTAAAGGGTCTTTTATACCCTTGCCCTGTGGTATTCATCTTCGAGTCTTTGCGAGAATTCACAACTTAAGCTTTGAAGTAGATCTTGTTTCATTACATGTTAACAAAGAAGACTAGATCCCACAGTAGTACATGAAAGAAGCTAACCTTTTGTGTTCGTACATACTTTCATGGACAAATAAAATTCACTTGATGCATCTTCAATCCTATCTGATTAGTATAGGGGCTTAGCCATTTATAACTTTAGTGTATGCTCATTTTGAAACTTGCACGAATGCGAATAACTTTCTTTTAATTCGAAGTAATTGTTTCGTACAAGTTTTCAAATTTGTTGACCTTTCCTTTTAGAGTTATTAAAGAGTTGCTTCCAGCGATTATTCTAATTTCTGTCTAGAAATGTCGAGATGTGCGAGAAGTAAACCTTTTGGCATTTTCTTGATAAAGCGAACACCGCGCTTAGTGCCACAACTGGCAGACAAAATAACCTGACTGTAACAAGGACACATTAGGATTTTTTTTAAGATATGCGTCGATTATTTTATTATTTAAGATTGTTTCTTTTCAACAATTATATCTCTTAAAGGAGGGATACTTCTGATATCGATCCGTCTGTATAGGAGGACTATATGTACTCAGAAGTACCTTGTAGAAAATGTTTTGCAAGCCGGTGTAATCAACACTTGAGTGTTATCACTGTTGAATTGCGTTTACTTCAGTACAATTAAAGTTGGTATGCGTAGTTTACTTATTATGAGTTTTCAAAACGTTTCATGAATAGATGAATAACTTTGTAATATGATATTCTGGAAATGAATTTGTATTCAATGACTACATAAGGTAACATACCTCTCCTAAGCCATAGTTTGCAGTTATGGTCATAATTGTTGGATTTCCTGTGAGAGGATCACAAGTGAAAAGAACCCCGGCAACATCACAGGGAACCATCTCTTGAATGACAACAGCCATGGGAGAATTCAGACACTGACCGTAACGCCTGCAGCAAGATATTAAACATTATGGGAAATTCAGTATTCTTTCAATAATCAGGAAAAGTTCAATGTTGAGAAAAAAAAAAGACAAAATGAATTTGGCGCAAAATATTACCCCGTGTAACTTTCAAAATAGTTTATCACAAGAGTTTGACAGAATATTGATTTTAAGATATGCTTGAAAATAATAAGTGACGTTTAAGTGACAGGATGCGAAGTTCAGAACTAACCACCTATCTAAAACTATTTTCAGTTATAATGGATGCTTTGTTATTTAATGAAAATTTTGCAATCATTAGGAAAGTAAAATAAAATACAATTAAAACTTAGCTTTGAAAATATTCTTCAGTGTTGGGCTAAAATAAATGCAAGTCGATTTTTTTGCTCTTTAATTATTTTTCTAAAGTTAATCATTAAGAAGACTCGGCACCTTCTGAATAATTTTATTTATTTAAGAACTTTCATCTGTTTTTTATGAATATTATTAAATTTTTATGTAAGACAAAATGATTTAAACCGAAAAAAATTACCGATATCTTTTTGAAGAAAAGCCAAGCAGTTAAATTTCTTTTTCTTCTAGAATTTTCAATGTCCCTCCCCCCAAATTTTTTTATTGCTTTTATTAGATTATACGTAATAACATTAAGGGCCGATTTTGCAATTAATGAATTAGTTTCTGACGGAAAACAAAAAGCCCATTTTTATGAAAAAATTTTGAAAAAATATGATCTCAATCACATTTTCACTTCCAATAACTTTTCTTTTCAGAATTCTGCAAAACCTTTCTTGTTTCTATTGAGCATATACTTTTAAACAAGTGTTAAAAATATTAAATAATTTAGTCCATATCTATACGAGTCTTAGGACTTCTCGAAGTAAAAGGATTTATCGAAGAAATGCAAACTGGGAAAATACAGTTTAAATAATGTAAACTCTCTGAATAGCCATTAAATCATTTGAAATTTCTTAAATATTTTGTTACTGAATTTCAATACATATATATGAAATAAACTTAGTGCTATTTAATTAGTTAATATAAACATAAATTATAAGCTTTTATTTAAAACTATATCTGCTAGAAATATTGCAAAAAAAAATCCTAAAATGCAAGTGGAATTTTTCTTTATCTGTTTCTATTTTGTAAAACACGTTCAAAACAATTTTAATGCATGAATAAATTATAATTTGTTTTCTGAAGCAGTTGGTGTCTTAATCGGTGTATTTAATTATGGCAAAGCACGCTAGGGCTATCAGCCTAAGGGGAGGGATGCCTTTGTGGAGGACTTTCTAAGGAAAACTGGCTCGTATACACGTTACACATGGGGAAAACTAAGAAAACGCCCATGCAATGCAGCCCTTCCCGTTCGCGGGATTCGATCCTCGGGCCGACCTATCAGCGTTTAGCGACTTTACCGCTTGGCCGCTGGTGGGTGGTGGGCTCGGTTTTACAGGGACTTGGCCTACAGGTACCAGTACAAATCTGTTGAGGTTTCCTGTGGGATCTGTAAGCCAAATTCCCGTGCATTTTTTTTTTTTTTTTTTTTTTTTTTTTTTTTTTTTTTAGGATATGTAGGACGTTTTAGCAGGGTCAACATCACTAATATCCAAATTTTCAGGAGGTAAATGCTTGAACTTGTTGTGAAGGGATATTTCGAAGTTACTTTTAATGAGTTTAGCGGTCTAGCTGGATTTCTCGAAAAAGTAAAATAATAATCTTCATTTCTGCAATCGTTGATTGATCTTTATATATATATATATATATATATTTATCTGTCCCTTTCGGATTCTTTAATAACCACTTCTGCTACGTACAATTAAGATATCAATTACAGTAGCAGTATTATTATCTTTAACATGAAATGAACTAACAGAAGCATTACTAACATTTTTTTTTAATTGAAAATTTTAAATTCCTTGTGCACCATATAGTACTTACACAAGGCTTACAGAGGTAAGTAAAAAAACCAAGCAAATACAACAACACAACACAAAATAAAATAAACTTACAAATTCACAGATGACACGTAAGAGATAAATTTACAGAAGAAAAAGAAAGCCATTTTATTTTGGACAAATACGTGAAGAGGGGGAGAAAATGTAATATTCACAGAGTTTAACCTAGAAATGAGTTCCTTTCGTCCTTCCTTGAGCTTTGAACAATAGAACAACAAATGTTCGACATTTTGCACTCCCCCGAAACTGCATGAACACAAGTCTGTAATTAGTAACATTACTAGATAATTTAGCATTTTCAATAACACTTTACAACTTCCAGCACGAGTAACTAACTTTACCACTATCAGGGAGAAGTAAATCGCATTCACCTTGTACATAGAGCCTTTTGCATTGAAGCTCGAGGTCGAGGAACCTCTTCTTCATATTCTGTTGTTCTGAGCCCATATGTTTAAAAGTTCAGCCGATTAAATGCATTAGCAGAGAACTCAATATCTTGATTAATTTCACTAGCAAGAAATCAGAAAAGGACAAGATATTTAGACATCAGAATCCATAGAATGTTAAACCGAAGATCAAGATATTTTTCACCATAACACTGTAAAGCATATTCAATATCTAAATTCGTAGATCGCAATGTGGCTGGCTTTGTATAGCATCAATACTAAAACTTGGCCGGAAAGGTGTAAAGTCAGTGTCGAGAACCGAGGGCAAAACGTCCCCGTCCATCTTGAAATCCCTAAAGCGCAATTCATCAAAACAGGATCCCTATTTGAAGCGCACACACTAAAAACGAGGAATTAGATGTTCGGCGAGGACCACACTAGAACACGTCCTTCATCCAAAGCATCAGCAAGAAGAATCTTTGAGAACAGTGAGTTCTTCAGGATAGTTTTACGTCTATGATGATCAGTGAGAAGTAGTTTGGGCTCTGACGCATTGATGCTCCTCCTACAATGCCTACACGAGTTCTCTATCTCATACTTCCTGTCCTGAATACAGGCAATGGCAAAATCCGGATTTAGCGAACTGAAGAGTATGAGAACTGAGAGTAAGCCATAAATTATATATATATATATATATATTTTTTTGTAGCCATTACATTTAACTTTCGAGAACTAAACAGGTACATGTGAAGCAAGTTTGGTATCTGCGCATCCATGTAAGTATATTGGGGAATCGCTGGACCTTGTTAACTGCTAAGCTTCAGCCCCAACTGAAATTCCAAGGAAAAGCACCTCTGGGTGCTCGCACGAAGGTCTTCTATCCAGCTTTCCTTACCACCTGTATCTCGAGAAGATTTTGGCTCGCCGTGTATTTTGAGAGCTCCCTCGTCACACAGACACTATACGCTCACAACATCCATACCTTCTTTGGAGTTCGAACCCAAGATCTTCGGAACGGCAGTCATCATCACTAACAACTCTACCGGCTGGGTGGCCCGAAAAAGAAACTAATGCACTTCCTGTTCAGCCACCGAAAACGAAGTCGCAGATCGAAAATTATAAGTAGGGCTTTAGTATTAAATTTCCTGACGCATTTGATAATTTTAATTATTTGTCCTAAATTTATAAGCGAAATACGTTTATTTTCAAGCAGTTGAACCCGAGTATAGTTCATTTCATTACATAAGCTAGGTCAGCATTTGAAGCAAAAAGAACGTAGTGTAAATAATAAAAGAATAAACATCATTAGAAAGGAAGGAACTAAGTTATAAATAGCATAAAAGAACAATATTTACAAGAGAACTAATAACGAAATCATTGAGCTCTAACTCGTATAAAAAACGTCGATTAGAATTATTTTATTTTATTTATAATATGTTCAAAATTCGGGTCTTATTACTGATAGTTGGATCTTTTAATGCTTTTAAACTCTTAAACATATATTTATTCCGGTTTACGTACAATTAAAGTCATACTATTGTATATAAAACAGTTGCTAAATTCTACGATATCAACTACTACCATTGCTTCTATTCAACGCCATTTTTCTTTCTGTATTTTCCATCAACAGTTTTATTTTACTCTGCTTAAAAGAGATTGAGATTGTTCTCTTTTAGATAAGATTCAAATAATCACTTGCCCAATTATGTGTTCTAGGAGATAGGGCACTGATTGCATAGAAATATACTTTTTCAAAACTAATAGTAGGGTTCAAAGAGATGTATATAAATTATATAACTGTGTATAAAACATAACTGTGTATAAACAAGTTCTGACTTCAATTCCGCACTAACGTAATTTTAGGCATAATTATTTATACCTAGAAACATAGCTTTGAACATTGCTTTTTTTTTATTACGAATAAAAAAATACAAGTGCAAATTAAACTATGACACGATCGCTTTTTGTTATTATTTCAAACATTCAAAGAAAAAATGCAATTTTCTTTCAGACCAAACAGTCGATCAGGCAAAAATTATAACATTTCTAAAAGGTATGTACAGATTTCATGTTGGATACAAACCTCTTGTATTGAATTCCAACATATCCAAACTGCGATGCCCAGCACTTTTTTACAGCATATAGAATCTTTAAGAAAGAATTTCTAAATTAAGTGAATTTTTTTTTTAATTTAAGGGGTATTAAAATAGATATACAGATAAAATATAAAAGTGAAATTTAAGTTAAAAATATTTTGAAAATCAAAGTGAAAAACACTTTAGAATTTAAGGACATTATAATTACAAAGCATTATGATGCTATTCAATTGGTATAATTAATGTACATAATTGTTTGGATTAACGAATAAAACACGTCTAGTATATTTCTTCAGTATAAATCAAGATGAATAATTTGTAAAGATAAACATATTACCAAAATCTTATTTTTTTAATTAACTGTTAAAATATATGCATTATAACAGATTGATGCATACATAAATTTCATAGCCAATAGCATAATCAGTAAAACTACAATATCATACTGTTAAGAAAAAAACTGATGCACAACGTGAATAAACCTATAAGAAATTATTGGAATTAAATCTGGTCTGCATTTCTTTAAAAAAATGTATTTATCTACGATTCTATATTTTTCACCATGATTAAAATTTTTCCTTGATGTATTTTCATAGAAGTATATACTGTAATTTATACAATTTAGCTGAATGTCCTTTAAAAAATCAAAACTGATTCAGTTTCGCTTTTAGCTGGTTGAAAACTGAATTAAGGAACAAAGGGTTAAAATGGTCAAAAGGGTCCAAATCTGGCAAGTAGGGGATAGGAAAAACCTTTGTGGATGGTTTGGTGTGTGGCTTGCTTGGCTTGCTAGCTAAGGATGAAACTATGCACAAAGAAAAGAAATAAAATGCATAAAGAAAAGCTGTGTATAAACAAGTATGCTCAAGATTTCTAACGTAAGGCGAAAGAGAGAGATTAAAATTTTCGAATTAAAATACACTGAACTTCTGGCAACCTGTGGCCGGAATATCCGTGTATTGTCTCATAAAAGTGTTTTCTAATCAGTATTTGAAGAAGGTTTAATTTCAGTCTTTGATGAAACTAACGATTTCATAAGTTTTGATTTCATAAGTATTCTTCCTAAGGAGTAGAATGAACTTAGATGCTTAACGCTAATTCATAGCTGGAAAGTATGAGTCTTAATATTGTTGCCCGTTACGAGTTTCGTTCAGATCTCCGATAACTGTGGCAAATGTGCAGGTAATAGCTAAAAATTTAAATTAGATAAGGCAAATTATCTTCAATTCGTGAAAAAGAGAGTGGATTCTAAAAATAACTGGCAGTAAAGTGTGATGCTCAGTACAGCTGCAGGGCTCTGAAATGAATCTCTGAAGTGACTGACTCTCAGCTCCATGGGAAGAGTATTTATAGGATCGCCAAAGCATTTCGGGAAACTTTGAGGAGACTTGTACCTGAAACTTCATCGGTGCACTTTCAAGAAACACCCAGAATACTGCTAAATTTAAATTAGACGTTGCAGATATTCCCGGTTCCCGCAAACATCACCACCAGGGCTCGTTAGGAGTATTTATGCCCATATCTCTGGTTCTAACTGAGCTATATTTAAAATTCCGATGAAATCAATTAAAAACTAAATGGTCCAGAATAAAATGCCCTACGGCCATGAATTCTAATATATAATATACATTATTATTACATAAAATAAGCAAAATAAGCATAAATAAGTAAATAAAAACAGTACCGAATACTATAAAATAAATAAAAATAAAAACGCAATCAAATGAGCACAAAAATTTGCAAAATGGAAGGACGTGAAATTATTTTTGGTATTGCAAAATTTATAAATATAAGAGTAAAATACTGAAGTTCTATACAAAAGGATATTTTTCATACGAGTGACTCATCACCAAACGATCGCCGAATAGTAGTAAAAGAGTGTGAAAAGGAAACTGAAGCTGAAATAGGATTGTAAAAGACAATGCACAAAGACAGAAAAGCTTGAGAACAGCGATGATTAGACTGTTGTTTGTGTTAGATTGTTAATAATGAAGTTACTTTATTTTCCAGGAGGTAAACATTATGTTACTAAATTTCTTTTGATGTGATGAATTTTGATTTGATTGTAATGGGACAGAACATTTGAGTTTCACTTTTCATATTATGTAAGTGCCTGATTAATCCGATATAAGGCTCATACAACAATTTTGAGATGAAGCATTTCAGAAAGATCTGTTCTAAATATTTTGCTTTTCTTAGAGTTAAGAACGGAAGTAAAGCAAATTAAAAAGAAGGATTATTATAAATTAAAGTCTTAATTCAATCTTACTTATAGCCCCCCTTCTTTTGAAGAAAACATGAAAATATATGTACATTTTATTGTTATTTTAGTTAAAATTTTAACTAAAATAACTATATTTTGTTTTACTTTATTTCTAGCAGTAGTTGTGTTAATGCAAGATTATTCATTATTGCGCAGAAACACATTGCACAAATGCAGAAGATACTAAAACGCAGAAAATATAACTTTCAAGCTTTCGTAGTTTAAAATAACTATAAAAGAACCAAATGGCATTTAAAAAAAATAAAAAAGCTTTCAGAAGTAGTTCAAAATGGTTTAAGGTTTGAATCTGCTCCGCAGCAAGTCAGTATCTTTCAAAAATGTTTCGAGGTAAGGATAGACAGTTTTCAGTGTATTTTGTATCCCCGTTAGCATCACACACTACACAGTTAAGACTAGGAAAGAATTCAAATATGGATTAAAAAAACTTCCTAAAAAATTATGCCCTATCTTTGAACAGAAAGCTGCAATAGTAATTTTATCGGGTGGTTGACCTGATTCTCTTCTTTGGTACGCTCCATTTGTTCAGCTTTATTACTTTTATTCATGGTATATTTTATAAGGGATGATACCGCAGCTGCGTAAATTAAATGACTTTTTAGGATAATTCTCCCATCTTAATAAAATACAGGATCTTACATACACTAGTAATAATTCTTTATGAGAATTTTTTATACTTTTCATGATACAAAAGAATTAATATTACTATATTGATTACTTCATTTAGTCCTAAGACACCTAAGAAAGTGTCCATCTGACCAGCGGCAGACATTTGTTCTGTGTCTTCACCTGAATTGAAGAATTAGAGCTCGACTTAATCACAAGATAATGTTTTATATTTCACAATAGAATAGAGAGAAATAATGCATAGAATAAAACTGAGAACAGTACCCGTGGCTGAAGATCGAATGGCAAATTTCAGCGAGTAAAAGTTTTCTCCAAATACTCTTTGCAAGCCCATTTCAATAGCCTTTCTCGATGCTTTCGGAATTTCAGTGTTTTCTATATCTAAACGTAAACTAAAGTAAAAGAAGATAAGTCGGCTCACGTGAACAAACTAAAGGTGTATCATCAATGTTACTCAAACTATTTATTATACAACCAAAAAAATTACCTTTCGCATACTTCTTTTACATTTCCTTCCACTTTACCACTGTTTGAAGTAAAAAATGAAATCAATTAAAAAAATTAACATCGAAAGTAAAACAGATAGAATTTTGCCACTACTTTAAAAATACCACATTAAACCAAATATTGCATGTAAGTTCGAATAGACTTACTCAGAGTAATATACATTGCATGTAAGTTAAGAAAAGACTTACTCAGAGCTCAAAAAAGAGTAAGTAATAGCTAAAAAAATTTCATAAGTTTTAGCAATGAAATTTTGTTTTAACATTCAGATATTAAAAGTTTTTACATTATTAGACTAACAGAATTTTAATGCCTTGGTATCTATAATAATTATGTAAATTTCAAGAAATGTCATATGTTTCTGAGTGCAAATTACATATCATAAAAAATTACCGTGTAAAATGTAAAGATGAGTGCTAAGACATATTGATTAGCAATTGGTATATAACTGCGCTTAAGTAAACTGGTAAAAAATTGCATCATTTTTTTAAAAATTTTTTTATTATTACTGTGTAATTTGGGCAGTAAGCGTAAGTCCACAGTTTTGGAATGTGCATGAGAGAAAGTACTGGATTTCTAACTGAAGAAGATGTGGCACCAGTGTTTTTCGTGTGCCGTATCATTTGAAATGTTGAATCAGTACAATTTAGTTACCACTCAAGGCTTCAGCATACTGTTCTCCAATCTTGCTTACATATATTCACATGAACTGACATGCCAAAAGTCATGATATATTATACCTTTAATATCATATGAAGCTATCTTCGGTTTGGTATTGTGCAACAATTCGATGGGCTTTACTATTTGACGAAAGTCCGGGTAAGAGATGTTGAGCCATGCTTTTCTGAATAACTGCAAATTATTACATGATTGTGGAACTTGCTAGATTTCGTCCATGAAAGGACCTGTAAGGCTTATCCTAAATATGCTTCACGAGGCTTATGTCTCAAGATTTAGGCGACAAAATCATTCACTAGAACTAACCATAATGCTTCTGAAACAAATTGCCAACAACCTTATAACAACTTACATAACATTCTATCACTTCGAGCTTAGTCGTGAGCTCCTTCCCATCAGATGGTATAAGGTATTTTCCCCCTCTTCTTAGCATGCCTTCGTGGTGTAATGGTCAGCACGCTCCGTGCGTACTCGAGAGTCTTGGCAAGGGCATTGCGCATTTTTCATGTCTCCTGCTTCGATAAAACCTAAATGTCTCAACAATGGTTATGTAGTTTTGAGAGCAGCAAAGAGTTTTAAGCAGTTAACTGGAACCGGTAGTCGGCTAGTTGATCAATTGATCGGTAGCCTGCAGTTGTCTTATGTTGGATGTCTGATCCCGACCGACTTGGAGTCTACTTGAAAAACGGTAGCCGAGTCTGCTCAGAAATGTTGCTCTGCGTGGCCACCCTAACTTGGGCTCTGTCATTCGGTACATTATCATCCTGCGACATTCCAATGTTATCGGGATTCGTGAAGCCCATAAAGAGTTGCAAATAGCAGTCATGAAATTGAGTATAGGGATTTTCTGATTAGTTCAGTTTTACCGTAGGACCTCATCCATATCAAAAACACACGGTCTAAACTATTATGTAGCTACCTAAACTATTATGTAGGTTTCACAATGTCTTGTTGATAAGTTTGATTCAGGTGCATTGTTTGCAAGCCTAGGACAAGAATTAAATCCCAAGTACTATGAGTAAAAGCACTCGATTCGGTCTTATGCTGCCATATCCCTATAAAGTCAGATTTCGTTGCATGGTCCTCACAGACGTATCTCGAGTGCTTTCTTCATTCACTGTGGAAGTCAGTTCATAGAAAATCGTTCGTCTATTGAGGAAAGACAGGGCGGCAGGCCACTGTTCAGTCTTTTGTGGTAGCCTTCCAGAGGGATCTTTCAGTACTCTATTAACAATTTGAAGCAAGGAATCTTAAAAAATCTCAACAATTACCGAAATACAACGCCTCTGCGTAAAGTTCCAATTTCCCGTGTGCAAACTCAGCTCATTCACGTTAGATAGCCATTATTACATTACTAAGCGTTTCAATGGACGTTCAAGAGACCAGTTGATTGTACTAATACCATCTGATTCTTCACATTATTTTTTACATGTTTCACTTGTAAATTTGCATACTGCTATTCCATGATGTTTACCAGTTCGTGTATATGTAAAGCGTTGTTTCAAGAAATGTTAATCTGAGTTTTTTTTTACTTTAATCTGAGTTATTTCCATTATAATTCTTCAATAGTTTTGACATATAAAACTTCTTTATAATCGAATGTGCAAACCCGACTGATTACTGTGCAAACCAGAAGAGGTAACAATTATTTGTATTACATGTTTGGTAAAGTGGGCAGTTATACCATCAAAGTTATTTCGTTGCCCAAGCTGCCATCAAAGCTAGTTAGTTCCGAAATAGCTTTGGACTTATGTTATGCTCGAGGTGATGATGACGGCGTCGGTGGGTACACCACTAACCTTATTAAAACTTGTGAAACGAGCACACTTAATTATGAATCATGACTTTTGGCTTTCGAATAGAAAACTCAGACTTGGATTACCATCTGCAGATTTTCTCAAGCGCATTAACGACTATCGCTATGTCTTATGTGAATTCAACTTTCGTAATTAAATCTAACAGTAAGCCAATCATTCCTTTTATGATCATGTGCGTTAAGGCAACCTATCTTGACAATGAGGAGGTTACAAAGATATGCTGTTGATTATTTGCTCGATTCTTTTAAAAACTTTTGAGCTCTTATTGTTCTTTCTAAAAATATTATCACTTGAAAAAATAACATGTACAATGCTGCTACTGTATAATTTAAGATTTTTTTTAAAAATTTTCATGACTCATTCTATTTTGTTTTCCATTTGCCTTATGAAAGCCTCTATTTAACATTCAAATTTTAATTAGAAAGCCTGAAGTAGGATCTTGCATGCAAATTTCGCTTCAGTGCGACAGCTAAAAGTATCTAAAAGATAACCTTTTTCTTTTCCAAAATAAGGTAAATATGTGTAAATTTTGGTATAGACAATTAAAGACTCAAAGCAACGATTTAAAAAAAAACTTTGCTTCAGAAATCTTATGTTAAATAAACTTACTAAAGAACATCTTCCAACTTCTTAATTTTAGCAAGAATATCCTCAGTAATAAACGTTTTGTAAGCCATTGTTGTCACCACTATACCACTAGGAACTGTAAACTAGAAATAAAAAAGCTCATTTTTCGTAAGGTTAATTCACTTTCCATGCTGATGCAAAGGATGAGATAAAACTCAAGTTCAAAAATGTTAACTTACGGTACGCGTATCCTTGCTTAACTCTGTTAGCTTTCCCAACGATGAACCTTTTCCTCCCGTTATTTCTGATACTTGACATGCCTCACTTGAAATTGAGACAGTTAACGGTGACACTAATTTAAAAAATATATATATATTCCCAGAAATTTTTCTTTTAATATAATAAAGAACTGTCGCAATTTCTAAAATAAGATTATGCACATAAATCCTTCTATTTACAGATTTAAGCTTAAAATCTTTTAACCAGTTGTAAAATGTACTGAAAATGAAATTAATAAATTTTTCAAAAGCTAAACACCCTCAGTTACGAATTTTTGTAATAAGAATAATTGCTTTGTTTAAAAGTATACACTTTCGTCAAAAAAAAAAAAAAAAAAAAAGCGCCGTGAAGAAAATAACGTTTTTATTGAAATTAAATGTACTTAAAGTTTTAATGGATTTTATATCATTTCGTTGCCCGAGAGCATACGCAGGTAATGAAATGATTAAAATTCAAGGAGACATAGGGCCCATCAGTAGTTAGCAACTTCCCACTGAATGTTCAAATCAGTAATTGGTGAAACCTTCCTGGTGGAAATTCATCTTTGGATGTTCCGTACGTGTTCGATTGGCGAAAGGTCTTTTCACCTTGCTGGCCAAGGAAGAGTATCAGCAGCTGGTCTATAATTCAGAGATATGGGAGTAGTATAGGTTTTAGCATTATCCTCTTCGAAAATGGCTCCAGGATGGCGTGCCTTGAAGGGTAAAGCAAATGACCTCAGGATGTCATCAGCTTAAAGTTGTACGCCGTATGATTAGGATCGACCTGCTGTCATAAGAGATAGCACTTCAAACCAGGGGTAGTGGCTGTATGCCTCTGTAATACAAAGCTGACTGTGACCGCTAAACACTATGGATGCCAGTAGGCTGAAAGCCATGAAGATGAAACGGGTGAATTGGAAAAGGCTGCAGCACGCTAGATAGAGGAGAATAATGCCATTGGGGACAGCTCGGGTCTGTTGCATATTCATCCGCTCTTGTCTAGCACTTGTGTATTTTCCCTTTCCAGAGGCTTGATTCAGTCGACGAATACTTCTGTAGCAACTATTATTGCACGCCCCTTTGCACAAACTTGGCGTATAGTTCAGGTAGCGGCCTATTGCTCGGTATGACAAACTCGCTTCACTCATCCTTACTATGCCATCCTTCTATGTCCGAAGTCGTCCAATTTCTGTGCATGACGTTGAGAAAGATGTCGGAAGAAACTGCTTTGCTTTTCTTTTCGATTTCAGATTACTTCTTGCTTTTCTAAGGTGCGTTTTTTGTGCTGCCTTTAGTGTTTTGCGCTTGGATTACCATGGATTGCGCTTGGATTACCACTTCGAATAGTGCGGCGAATATTTCTCCCTCGGAGGAAAAATTCCCCCCGCTTCGTGCTACACCGGCCGCTAACGGCGAAGATGCTAAGCCTACCTCGTGGTCCGATGTGATGGATAAGAATGATAAAATGAATACGGAAACGGAATCTGCGGAAAATGTGTTACCAGAAAATGAATCGCTGGAATTTCTCCTAAATGTCAACCGATTAAACCCAACAAATATCAACATCATCAAAAAATGTGTGTCAATTAATGTGCAAATTGTAAAAAAGCTAGATCAGGCTCATGCGGATGCAGTTATCAAATTCTACGGAGTGTGCCTCGAAAAATTACAAGCTGCTATTCAACGGGATTGTGCGCTTTTGGATACACCAGTGTTTCTATCAGATCACAAAATTAGTGAAATTAAAAAAAACGTGAAAATGTATCAGGAGTACTCCGTTGACTTGCAAGGTAAGTGTGCATGGTTATGTTATAATCTTTATGGTTCTACTAAACTTGTACTAGATGTTAATTGTGATGATAATACTAGTAATTCTAATGCTACTAAAAATGTAAAAAACAAGAGAAAAAATTCTGCCAAATATGCAAAAATTAGTGATGATGATGGTTTTCAAAAACTATCTAAGACTGCAAAAGGCGTTAGGCTGACTCAGCCTCAGGCAATGCTGCCTTTGCAAAATAAATTTGCAAATTTATCTGTACAAAACCCTAATTCTGAAACGTGTCATGACTTAGTGGATGAACATATTAATGCATGTATTGAAAATGTTGTAAATAATTCTGATAATGTATGTACCAATGTTTCTTATGCTAATCATGTTAATGTTAACTCTGAAAACCAAGCTGGTGTTGTAAATCCCCAGTCAGGAAACCCGCACCCGCAGAATGACCTGCAAACTCCCCCTCCTCCTATTATGGTTAGGCCGAAAGTTGGCATTAAATATTATGATTTTCTAAAAGAGGTAGCTACGGAACTACCAGATTGCAAGTTCTTTGGCCGGGTCACTGGCGAATTCTTAAAAGTGTTACCTTCTACTGCCGATGATCATCGGACGTTAAGTGAATTCTTTTTGACTCACAAAATTGAGCAAACTATGTGATAAACCCTAAAAATAAAAAACCAGTCAAGGTCCTTATCAGAGGCCTCCCAATTGATGCAGATGTTAATACCATAACAGAGGCACTGCGTGAATTAAACTTCAATATCAATAAAGTTGTACAATTAACCAAGTATAGAACTAAGGCATTAATGCCGCTATACCAAGTACAGATTTTTCCAGATAAAAACCTGGATGAGATATACAAAATTAAACACCTGATGTACTTTAATGTCACTGTAGAAAAATACATAGCCAAAAATCAGGTTCCACAATGCCATAATTGCCGGAAATGGCATCACTCTTCTGACAATTGTCATGTTGCACCTAGGTGCGTCAAATGTGCAGGATTTCACAAAACTGGAAACTGTGACAAACCAGGGAAAATAGAAAATCCTGTCTGTGTGAATTGCCTTGGGCCACATGTGGCTTCGTATAGAGGGTGCCCCAGGTTCCCTACATATAAAAAAGTTAATAAAAATAATAATACCAAGCCAGGAGTTAGCTATGCCCAGGCAACTAAGAATTCTACCAAAATCAGCAATGCCTCTGCCACAAGTGTCTCTGCGGATGCGGGTCAGGCAAAAAAGCAATGCCCTCAAAAGGCTGATTTACCTAACTATGCAAGTAAACTAAATGTCATGCATGATAATGCTCCTAAATCTATATCTGAAAATATAAACACTGATAAGAAAAATTTTAGTAATGGTAAAAATGACATTTTTGAATTAATGAACATAATGAAAGAAATTGAAACTATTTTTGGATGCAACATAAGCAAAATAATTAATGTGTACAAAAGTAAATTGCCCGAACTTAGAAAATGCGAACACATTCTGGACAAGATCCAGGTTCTGCACATTATGCTAGAAGAAATTCACGGGCTAGTAAATAATGAGTGATTATGAATAATGATCTTATAATTGTAACATGGAACGCAAACGGATTATTCCACAAACTAGATGAATTACGCATTTTTGTAAATGAGCACTGTCCTGGCATTTTACTCCTACAGGAACACAAGCTTAGTCCACACACGAATGTCCAGATTGCCAATTACTGTGTCTACAGGCTCGACCGGGAGAGGACTAACAGCCATCCAGGAGGTGGACTTCTAATCCTCGTCAAGCGCTCCATCACCCACCACCACACAACACTGCCACAGCTTTTAGGCCTCGAAGCCATAGCTATCACAGTCACCACACTCACCTCACACCCACTCACTGTTATCTCTGCCTATACACCCAGCAACAAAAGATCACAAGCAAATATTGCGCAGAATTTTGAAGCGCTATTCCAACTTAACAGGAAAACAATTATAGGCGGAGACTTCAACGCACACCACCGCGCATGGAACTGCAATCGATCAAACTACCTAGGCTCTGTAATTCACCGATTTGCCAATGAGGCCGGTGTTACCATTGCAGCTCCAGACACCCCAACACGTTACAATGCCAGATCAGCAAATGTTCTGGATTTCTTCCTTCTAAAAGGCTGTCATCACAGATCTATTCAAACCCTCACCGAGTTATCCTCTGATCATAATCCGGTCATGATACAGGTGGGGACTTCTGTTTGTAGCACACCACACAAAAAGGCCTTTATTACTGACTGGGCAGGATATGCCAAAGCCTTAAACAACACCACACTACACATTCCAACAGCCACCACGGGTGATGAGTTAGATGCTTTGGTCCAAGAATTTTACCACAAATTTAACTACTGCCCTGGATGCAAATAGCACACCAGTCACTCACAGGCACAAGGCAACTGATCCTGAGCTGAAGAAACTAATCCAAGAAAGAAACGCTGCCAGAAAGGTTTGGCAAAGGTATCGTTTCCCGGCTGATAAAACAACCCTCAACAGACTGAACCATCTGGTCAGGACTCGTACTCACAAACATACACAACGCGACTGGACCAACTATCTCACTTCCCTTTCAGCAGATCAAAGCTCTGTATGGAAGGCGACTGCTAAACTTAAGAGATGCCACACCAATATTCCGCCCCTTAAACGGCCAACAAAATATTGCCCTCACAGAAATTGAGAAAGCTGAGTCACTAGCTGATCACTATGCTTCTCAATTTTGCACAAACAACATTTCTCACCCTCAAACAGAACACCTTGTTAACACCACACTAACAGAATTCCTTTCAAAGCCACGCACGAACAACATCACTCCTGTCAGACCCTCGGAGGTCTATGGCTACATTGAAAAACTGCTGGTCAAGAAAAGCCCTGGCATCGACAAGATTTCCAACAAAATGATCAGATGTATGGGAATTCTCATGCTGCTGAAACTTACATCCATCATCAACGACATGCTAGACTGGGATACTAATCCAATGCCTGGAAGATTGCTATTATCGTACCTATTCTCAAGCCTGGAAAAGCCTCCTGCAGATCCAGCCTCCTACAGACCAATTAGTCTTCTGTCCTCGCTCAGCAAGGTGGCAGAGCACATCATCCTGACAAGACTCCAAGACTACATGGACCTAAAAAATGTCATCATTCCACAACAACATGGTTTCAGGAAGAAACATTCCTCTGTCCACCAGCTGTACCGGGTGACGAATTACATCTCTCAAGGACTGCAGGAGCGGCAGATCACAGGTGTCATCTTCCTTGATGTAGCTAAGGCCTTTGGTCGTGTCTGGCTGGACGGCCTCATGCACAAAATTATCTCGCTGGGATTCCCAGATTACATTACAGCCATCACTTACTCCTATCTTAAGGATAGGAGTAAGTGATGGCTGTAATGAATGTTGTCGTTCGTGTAAACAACACGAACTTTGTCGTTCGTGTAAACAACACATACTCAACCTCACGGGCTATCAGGGCTGGGGTCCCACAAGGGAGCCTCCTTGGGCCCATCTACTATAATATCTACACGAACGACATCCCACAAACACCACACACCACCCTGGCTATGTACGCTGACGACACGGCAATACTCTAAAAAAAATGCATCTCCTGGTCCAGTTATACAAGCACTCCAATCTCACATCCACACACTCGAGTCCTGGCTCACTGCCTGGGAATTCAAAATCAATGTGGACAAGTCGGAGGCGATCTGGTTTACGAAAAGAGTCAACATTGACTCGGAAGACTCCATCCTCATGTATAACACCCCTGTACAGTGGACTAGGCAAGCCCGATACCTAGGCATCACTTTAGATAGGCGGACCCCACAGATCACACAGCTTATTGCCAAGTTCCGTGCTCGTAAACGAACACTTACTCCCTTAATTAGCCGGAACTCCGTTCTCTCTATTGATAATAAGCTGCTCATTTACAAAACCCTTTTGCGTCCCATACTTTCTTATGCCTGCCCTGTTTGGGGATATACCAGCCATACCAATATTAATAAACTGCAAGTCTTGCAGAATGTTACGCTTAGACAACTATCCAGAAGCGGTTGGTTTATAAGAAATACGGCCATTCATGAGGAGTTGGAAATACCAACTATTTCAAATTATTTTGCACTCCTTGCAGAAAAATTTAACCAAAATATTCCTAATGTTAACAATAGCTCAATTACTGTACCTCACTATGACTACTCACTTGATATTAATAGCAAGCGGCCGCTTGCGATTCTAAGACATCTAAATTAATTCATTTTTTATAACCTAATTATGTAAACACCCTCCCTTACTTGAGCTTTGCTTTGTTTTGATTTATGATTTCTTCTGATATGACTTGATTTGTACTGACTCGCTGCCTGACTTAATCTCTGTATATAGTGTACATATTTCCTACTTTATGTCTTATGTATGTTTTCCTTATTATGTATTATTTAATTACCTACGGAATATTATGTATTTATGTTTACTCAACTGTGCTATTATGAGTGGTCCCACGGACTCTTATTCAGATTAGTGATTGGAAATTTCTTTTTTACTACGCCATTGCACACTTACCTCCGTCTAAAGGCATATCAGCTACTGGTGTTTCTTCAGGACTCTTATCACTGGTTCTTGTACGAACTCATAGTGCTCGAATTTTCTATTCAACTGATCGATGATCAAAGAATCGAAAATCGCACACATCTTATTCCGGGATAGCGTTGTCACGCGGGAACCCACTTTGCGAAAACTCATCGAGTTTGCCTGAGCCGAAGTCGTCCAATTGTCTACAATGTCCTCGACAACATGGGAACTGCATTATTGGTTGTGTATCTAGGGAAACTTCACAAAATCGAAAATCGGAAGAATTACGCCGGCATAGCGTCATAACGCGGGGACACGAATAGCGATAAACTCGTCGAGTTTGCCTGAGCCGAGGGGAACTGCAACGCCGATAACAAGGAAAGATAAACCGTCCGCTGTTGTTTTATACGATGGTAGATGCCCAGTAGAAACTCGCCTTATGATCGAAATTAGCAGTCATTGGCCTTGGAAATTTAATCATTTCCATACTTGGTATGAAGGACTTTGCATGCAGAATTTCTACATAATCGGATAAATTTTATGGGTGCTGGTTTTTCGAGGGGGACAAAAGAGTGTATCTTTTACCCTGGCAATTAAAAATTATTAAGTGTAAAAAATATCCAAACTGTCCATCTGTGAAAATTTTGAAATCTGTGAAAATTATCCAAACTGTGAAAATTTTGAAAATATAACGCTGATTTTTGTTGTTTGACTTCTGAATTAGTATTTATTCGGCGTGTTATTGTGTCTTAAGTTCGTAATTATTTGTAAACAAATATATGAATTTTGTCTGCATTTCTCAAAGAAAAATTTGATCAATAAAAGAAATAGTTTAATCAAAAAGAATAGGTAGCCATTATTTATTCTCAAGTTTTTTCCCATTGTTATTAAGCGGTTTATTCAGCATATTAAAACTACTTCAAATAAATGTCAGTCTAAAAATATGTATACTTTGATAAGTGTTTAGTAAACAAAATTTTTAATTTAGTTCTGCTGAAAAGTCTTGTTTTATTTTTTAAAAAATTACGTTTTGGTTAAAAACATTCCACCTACCAGTTGCTTTTAGATCGTGCATTCGACCCGCATACAACCTTGATCACCACAGTACATTTCAGGATTCTGAGCTTATAATCAATTTTATATGATTACATTCAATCGTTCAAAACTCTAATTACAATTGCATTGGAAGAGAACTTGTCAATGTAAATTTTAAAATTAGGCAATGAGCCAGCCGTAGTTTGGCATAGATGTTTTCAGGGAAGCTACTTCCTTTTAAGGCATTAGGAGGGAAAAAAAATATGTCCCTGAGGAAGAGGGATACGTCATCTTTGCCGAACTGAGGTTGCTTTTTTGCCCAATTTTAAACCGTTGAGCGAAATCGAAAACAAGCTTGTTTGGTGACATAATTCCTTACTTGGCGACTATTTTCTGATGCTTCGCAATTTTTATAAATTATTTTGAACCTGTTTGCGACTTTACTTGAGTTAAAAAAATTATTCGATAGTCGTTTGACCTTATTAACCGAATTATTGATCCCAATAAGCGATCTTTTTTCCATGTTTCCATAAACAAACGGGAGAGACTTCGGCAAATGGGTTACAATACCCGAATAGTAACATTAACCGTGATCTCATTAAGACGAGTCTACTGTCGTATAATTTTAACAGCTAAGTTTTATTTTTGGATTACTTCTGTACAACTGAAAGTAAAATAAGTTAATTTTTGGGTGAGTGACCAGTCGCCAGACAATCGCATTTTTATAAATTACCGAACTAATTTAATTTAGTAAAAATTTTAAAAATAAGTATACGGATAATTTCTACTACAATTTTATGATTCTGTATGAAATACCATCGAACATATGAACAATTTACCATCAACAAAATTTTTTAACATATACAATATGGGGAAAAAGATGGCTATATGTTTATTTCTTTAACTATTGATTCTAAAAATACATATCCAGTTATGAACTTTCATACAATATAGAATTTAATGAATACAGTTTAAACTTGGTTAAAAAAATCTAGGTAGTAAAACATTAAAAATGTATATTTTAAATTAACTAGATACAAAAGACTACCTTTATATGAGGAGAAATTTATTGACTAAAAATCCTATAGCCACTTTTTCGAGTATCTTATATAATACTAATAATACTTTTCTAATATTCACAATTACTTTTCAAAGAAAATTTTATTTTGATTTGATTGAACAAGTTTAAATATTTATACTTAAAACTGAAATTTTCGATTCCACCGGGGTTGAAATTCTCTGCTGTAGCACTTGGGAGATCTTCCTAAAAGATTAAAAATGAAACTATTTGGTATCCTTGTTAAATATAAGGACAAACATTTTACTTTCTGAACTAAGTAGAATTAGGATAAATCTTGAATTAATAATTTAAAATTTATTTTCAAATGATAGCTATATGCATATAATTAGAAAACGTTTTTCTAAAACATAATATAATCATGCCTAGTATTTTCGCTCTCTGAGCTGCTGAAAAATTATCAGTAAAGACCTAAAGTAAGAAATTTAGAAGCAATTTTTCACAAAGACAAAAAATTGAAATTCATAAGTAATAAATTTCAGATAATCCGATAAATGCAAAAAACAATTTAGTATATGTTAAAACAAAGCACTTCAAACAAGCTATAACCCAATTCAAAAAGCCAATGAAATTTAAAGAAAAAAGAACATAAGAGAAGAGGAATTCGATCAACTTTTTTTTTTCAATGTCACTTTTAAACACAATGTCAGGAGGAGGAACACTGAAATCGATTGAAAATCTCTCTTCCACAAAAATCCTTGCTATTCTGTATCCAGAATTAGCCGATGAACCATTTTAATTATAATAGTTAGTCCGAAAATTCTGGCCCCTTCCCCAAAGCGAGGAGAAAACAAAGTAAATTCTAATCAAAATGTTTTACCTATAAATAAAGAGAACAGTCATATTTGTACATATAAACACTTTTGAATATATAGCTTTTTGAAAACAAATAAATATTTATCAGCAGCCCAGTATTTTGTTCCAGAATAATATCCATCAATAATAATTCCAGAATAATATCAATCTGTAAAGCTGCTGAAAGGATTTCTAATTTAATTGACAATGAACCGAATGCAAAATAAATACCTAACTATGTTTTGAAAAATGAATATCACGCAGGCTTCCAGAAAAGAAGCTTCAGAAATAAGAAAGCTGACCAAATCAGTGCATTGATTCATAAGGCACTCCGAAGGCGAAAGTGTCCATTACTAGAGATTTCGTCAAATGCTTGTCATAGCTAGTGTAAAAGCTTAATTTAATTTGCTATTACAACTTAAGCTAAAGAAGATACATTTTTATGCATCATCTATAAATTTGGAATCAATCTTATTGCATCGCCAAAGAAGTTCTCATGCTGTTTCAGACTCCAAAGACAGTGAAGACGAATTTCAATACTTTCATTAATTACCCACATTTCAATTAGAATATTGATCCATATCTTATACGATGTTCTTTGTGTTAACATCGTCATATTTTTGTTCAGAGATTTGGAAAAAACCGTTGACTTACTTGAAACAGCATTTGGATTTACTAGAGACAGCGCTGTTGAGTTATTGGTATTTAAGTATACATTAGTGAACAGACATTAATTAATTACTGTAAATGCGATTGTGTTTATAGAAAACAGGCAATATTATACAAAATTTGATTTAAATTGGAAGTGAATGCTAAAAATACTGTCTAATAACGGGATGTACAAGCCTCACTGGGACTTGGCAAAAAGTACTTCGAGAAGAATAATCATGTAGGACATTCTGAGAAGGTTGTAAGGTATATTCTAAGTTTTAAACAGTTATATTTATTAAGTTTCTTTACCTTTCCTGTCTCTTCTAACTTCAGATTACAATTGCTTACCAGAATGAGCTTTTAAAATCGCGCGAAGTGCAAAGGAGAAGGAATAATATTCAAGTCGAAGTTCCATTGACTTCGACAGAGAGAATTAGGATTCCTGAATAGCGCGCGTTTGCTTTTTGGCTACGTCTCTCTGAGCTGTTACTACGCTCGGTCGTATTACGTGACCTTGATGGCTGAGCTAGCTAATTTAATATTACGGGCCAACTAGTTTAGAAAATGTGTTAGCTTCGGCTATCTCTTAGTTAGTCATTAGTTAAGTTCTTATTTCTTACATTTTTGGGTTTAAGCCCAAGTGGCAGCTTTGGTGTACGTCCTGAGAAACGGGCCATCTGTTAATCTTTATTTTGAGCAATAAAGGATAATTAACCCTTCTTAAGTCTACGTTTCTGTTTTTAAGCTTAAGCTATTATTCGCTTAGTAGTTTATAAGGCATTTCTCCACTTTCTTAGCATGCCTTCTTAGTGTAGTGGTCAGCACGCTGGGTGCGTATTCCAAAGGTCCGTGGTTCGATTCCCGACGAAGGCGTTGCTCATTGTTCACTTCTTCCTCTTTCAAAAAGAACCTAATGTCTCTACAAGTTCACTAAGTTCCTCAACACTTAGTTACTAGGTAAAAGTGAGGATCCCTACAAAATAATGAATTTTTACTATTTAATTTATTGAAAAGATTTTGTAATTTTTCTCACAAACGAAACCTTTCAATTTACATCTTCTTTTATTCTCTAACTCTTGAAACATTGAACATTAAAGCAAGAATAAAAATATCGAAGTAACAGTACCCGAGGACCGAACTGTCTTGTAGACTACAAAAATAAACTTCTCTAATACTCAAATAACTTCTCTAGCAAGTTTTCGTTCTTTTAAAAGAAATTATCGCCTTTCCCCACCTGCAGTCGCTCCTTAAAATATGGATGACGATAAGTTGATACCATATGAATATGATCGACTAACTCTCGTATCTTTTCCCGGTGACCTCTCAAGTATAAGGAAGAGTGTAATGAATTATCATAGTCTTTCGTGCTTGCTCTTATCCCTATACCGACATTGTTAAATTGTCCATTTTCGATGTACCTTTCCTCAAAATCTGCTGTAGATACAAGCTTGAAATGTTTTCTGTAATTAAAGTATACCTATGTGATTATACTGAAATGAGCTTTTGAACATTTTGAATTTTAGAGTAAATTACGGAATATTTTGTTAGGCATAGTAAAATTTAGCACTTTTCTCAGACAAAAAAATTTTAAAAATTTGTTTTTCTAAGTTTATTACAAAAAGCTCATTTCAGTAAATATTAGGGAACGTAATAAATAGCCATAAAAAGTTTAGATACCAGTGAGCAGTAGTTCCTGAGAAAAGGTTCATCGAGTATAAAAAAGTCACGGTTGGAGAAAAAAGCGTTTTTAAGTAAAAATCCTCATTGATGAATGCAGTAGATGACAAATTAAAACTAGATTTTTTACAGTTCTAATTTTCGTAGAGATTAAAGAATGGTTTATAGAAAGATAAAAGTGTAGAGAATTTGAAAATGCAAAAATCCGAAATCACAGTTTTTTGAAGATTTTGGGGTTCCAACACCCCTTAAAGTATAAGAAGTTAGCACATCCATTTGCGAACTGGAAAATATGTGGTTCGAATCCTGGAGCAGGCACGCTTGATTTTTCATATTTCCTAGCTTGAAAAATTTTAATAGTACACTTTTACGCTTATATTCTTCTGTATACTATATTTGTTGTCATCTTTTGTATTTGGAATTTAGAAGCTATATCTCGCTGTCGAGTATAAAGCAGAATGTTTCCGCTCGGGCACCTATTTATTTATCGGTGCACTACTCCACGGCCATCCACCTATTTTGGCCACTCACCGAGCCACCCTTTAGGCGCAGATTAGCGACTGAAAAAAGAAGACAATAATGATCTGGAGTATCAGAGTTATTTAAAATATTATAAAACTTGTTATGATTAAAATGTTTACACTCTATTTTTTTAAGGAAATATTCGTATCATTTTAAATAATCGTGCTATTAGATACTCCTGAGACGCTGAATGCATCAGATAATAATTTAAACAGTTCACTAACAATTATAGATGTATTAAATGCGTATATCAAACCTTGTTATATAAACACCGGTTCCTTTTTTACCATTCAAATAAAAATCGAAGTTTCTATAAAATGTGCCACCACCACCTCTTTTGTTGCTCATCTGAAGAACTGGACTGGAAAATGATCCACTAAGTTTATAGGAAAGACCTGAAAAATTTTAACAGATTTGAATTTGTAGTAAATTCAATTAGTAAGCCTACGTTGCAGTCTCTTTTAAATTAACACGACTTTAAGGAGCAGAGTATTCATAACTTTGTGTTCTAATGCAGAAACTGAAAATTAAAATTAGCAGGATATTTCGATTATTTACGTTACAGAACAACATTCGGCTAAGACATTTCTTGATACTTCTAGGGAAAAAATATGTACTTTCGTTATCAGCTCATTTCAGCTGCTGTAAATATAAGGAGAATAAAAGGAGAATAAGGAGAATAAAATCGCTAGATTAGCTATTTTAATAAACGGAGCACGAAACAAAGTGGCATGAGTTTTTATTCACAATACTTACAGAAATGAGAGTACTATTATAACGAATATTGAGAAAAACACATGTTATTTAAAAGTGGCCAAGAGGCGGCACCTGTACCTTTCTATAGAAAACTGACTGGTGTGTACTGTTTTATAATGAAAAGAACCCGAATATTTCTACAGACATAAAAAAATGCAAGATTATGAAGGCATATTTAATGAATATTAGATATGAATACTGTTCTAAATCTCCTTTTCCTAATTTTTATCATTAAAAGAATGCTAGTCCCGAATGGAAAATTAGTCTCAAACCTGCATTGTCAGTCGAAACACTTAAATGCGTTATATCACTTTTAAAAATGCAACCATCAAATATTATCAACCTGTATTACATTTAAAGGAATTAAATAATGAAGAATCTGGATGAAGGTATGCATGTTTCTCACACTGTGAAAAAAACAACGGAACGTAGAGCCATCCAGTTTTGAATAACGTAGTCCTCCACCCGAATATGGACATCTAGAAGCCCTCATTTTGAATTTCGAATTTGTTTTATTATCTAATTCATATTTTGTAGAACTATAACGAATCTTTTTATTAACAAACTCAACGATTTCAAAGCGAACAATGGCAGCACTGTACGAAAAAAAATAGAAAAAGAAAAAAAAAAAAAAAAAAAAATATTTATATCTTCAGCGCTCGGGATTGTGTATCTGAAATTCTAAAGAGATATGTTGCTTTTAAGTACTTTGTGATTCCTATTTTGAATCGAACTTTATGTGGCGTAAGAGCCGGGCATGTGATATGTAACAAATAAAGTAAACAAACAAACAAAAAAAAAAGTTATTAATAAAAAGACAAAAAATATTTTGTAAAGCCACCTTACTAATAAAACTGAACATTACATTATGAACTGAGAAAAGATTGAAAAAAAATAGAAAAATATAGGTCAATACTTAACACTACATATTTCTAAATGCAATTTCTAAACGCATGCTACTTTTAAATTTTTTGTAATTTTTTCTGTTGAACTGTACATGGCATAAGCGCAAAGAAAACGATGCTTAATAATAAAGCTAAAAAGATAAAAAGAAAAACATGTTAGTAGGAGTGAGTGTAATAGCAGGACTGCTAGACTACGAGCTTAGTGGGAACGTAAAACGCCTTAACAAATCTTTTTGGACGATCATTAAAATCTGAAACCTTTCAAAACACGGTCGTCCAAAACGGCTGCACCTTTCAAAAAGGATTTAACAGTGATAAGGTATTATATCTCCAGAGCTCGGGAATGTGTATCTGAAATTTTAAAGATATGTTGCTTCTAAGCCTTTTTAGTATGCCTTTGTGGTGTAGTACTCAGGATACTCGGCGCGTATTCGAGAGGTCCATTGTTCGAAACCCGGCGAGGGCATTGCTAATTTTTCACTTCTTTTGCTTCGAATTAACCTAATGTCTCTACACAGTTATCCAAAAGGGCTGCGTTGCAGCATTAAAGATTAAAAGAGATGCTTTCATATAGTTTAATATGGTTTCATCTGAAAGTTTAATATCGTATATCAGAAGAGATTATCAATAAAGATGTTCCAGGTAGAATAGCGAAACATTTTATGGAATACTAGATGAATATCATTTAGAGTAATATGTGAACAGTATATATATCTTCTTTATCTGCACAGCGAAAAAGTATGTAACGTATTCTATAAAAATATTGAATGTTCTTAATTAGATATATCCTGAATTAAATGAATTTTAATTTAAATTAATCTGATTAAAGGGTAAAAAATTAGTATTCTTTCTGTTGCTTTTAAACAGCTTAATTTGCTAACTAATAACAGACAGATTATAACTGAAAGATAAATATCTTACATTTTGCTGCAAAATCGTGTATTCAAGGTGAATATTCACGAGTAATTAGTAAATACTTACGCTTGTTCGTTTTCCCTTATCATAACGTAATAATTCAGTACCGGTGATTATGTGTACATTCTAACATCAGAAGAAAAATTTTATATGAAATACTGTTGTAAGGTTAACAACGATTACAAGATTTTATATCCAGACTTTTTCACTGCAAGCAAATAATTCCTTCTAAATTGCCTTAGGCGTGAGATTAGTGATCAATCATATTTCAGTTTAACGGTATTCTCCTATATACTGTAGCAAAATGCTCAGCTGCGTTAAGACAGCTTCCCCACAAAGCTGGTTAGGGCGGCCAGAAAGTGGCAGGAAAAGGCAGGGTCCACATTTGGCGCTAAATCGTCCATTTGGCGACATTTAGCAACAGATGCCATAGACGGAGCAAAAACATTTTAGAATGCATTCTTCGTTCTTTTCCTTGGGAATGTTCTAGAAGGTAGAATTGGCAGGTCTCTCTCTCTCTCTCTCTCTCTATATATATATATATATAATGTTGTATGAACTTAAATCCATTTAGTGCGAATACAAGTTATTATTACTTGCGCAAATTGCTGCAAAGTTAGTTAATAATAATTTTTCCTAAACAGTATTGATTAATTGATTATATTATCTCCTAAGTTTAATTAAAGTAGAATTGTTTTAAAAGTGTGCATCCATACTGGTAAGTTATATTTTGAAAGATGTTTTGAAGTAATTTGAAGCAAAATGTTAATAATGTTTTAACGGGGACTGGAGTTAAATCATCACGAAGAATAATATTACAATTGTAAAAGTAAAAATTAAAACATGTAATTATTGTCATTGATCGGAAATTAGTTGACTTTTCAAGGGGAACAAACCAACTCCCGTTCAATGATCAATAATTGATAAAAATACGTAAATATGAAAGTGTTTCGTCTTTACTCGAGTTATAAGTTAAAGCCAAACCGGCAATTCTAGTCAGGCCAAATATTTCCGTGAATAGTTTGTTACTCAAAGAACTGATTCTCATGAAGCATTTTAGTCAATTCAATTTGGAGTAAAAATCAATTACTGTAGAGAAATCTTGTAAAACTCGAGTAATCGTCCCCGACACTATCATCTTTATGTATTTGAGTACTATATTATTTGTAGAAATTAAACATTGGAAATTGTCATTATGAAATCGAAATCAAAGTAAAGTTGAAATACACATAGAAGATTATAAAAAAGATAATTAATGCAAACTTTGCAAAAACAAATCAAAGAGAACATAAAATAATATAAAAATAATATAAAATAAAATAGAAAATAATATAAATAAGATCAGTGAATGTACATGAAGATATAAAGGCCAGAAAGGTATTAAGTAACTTACATTCTTTCTAGTGGGGGAGTTGGCAGTGTGTTCTCTTCGTGTCTGACTCAGAATGTAGGGTGTCCGAAAATTCTTAGCGGCAGTAGGGCTTTGAATTATATCAGTCGGTAAGACTTGG